ACCGCTTGGGCGTCCCCGCCCCCAGCCATAGAACAGTACCAGATTTGCCACCATGGGCAGCCCTGGTAAGCTCAGGCCCCCGCAACCCTCCCAGGTCCCTGCCCTCACTCCTGCATCCCCTCTTTAATTTAGCAAGACAAAAATTACAAATATTGTCTACCAACAAGATCTATTTCATGTTTGAATCACTTTCCTTCTTTTAATACAAACTACTCTTTTCCTTCATTTTTAAAAAATATAATAATGTAAATATTACTAGCGGGCTGTGCCCCTTCTCACTAACCTTCCCACCTCTCTGGCAGCTTTTGCAGCCAGAGAACGTGAAAGCTACACTTGCCAACCCCGCCTTTCTCTAGGGGTAGGATTTAGGGATGTTAAATATCGGTTAATTGAATAGTCGATTAACCTCATGAATTCTTATTGGTTACTCAACTATTCTATAATCCCCGGGCATGGGGCCGGCAGCCAGTGCGCTCTGCCCCACTCCCAAGGAGTCCTCTGCCACTCTGTGCTGCTACCTCTGTATTAGAGGCAGCAGTGTGGGGTGCCAGGTGGAAGCTGGTCTGCGAGAGGAACCAGTTAAAAACTAGCTCCCCTCTCAGACTGGCTGCCTGTCCCTCTACAATGCTACCTCTGATACAGAGGCAGCAGTGAGGGGTAGCAGCAGCCCCTGTTGGGAGTGGGGGGAGGAAGGAGAAGGGAGAGGGGAGTCTGAGCTCCCATACCTGGCACGAGCCAAACCTGAGCCTGGCTGCCTGCCCGCCCAGTTCCTAATACACTTTAAATGCAGAGCCACAGGGTAGGTCCCGGATCCAGTGCAAGCCAGGCTAAGATGGACTGCTGGACAGCCTGCTAAAAAATGTACTGGCAGGGGGTGGGGGTGAGAAATGCATGTAGTCTATAGAATTAACCTACAGGCTTTTGCTTATCGGTTAATCAACCATACTATTATATCCCTAGGAGGAGTCTGGCCAGGGAAGAGGGTGCAGAAGTGGGCTGGGGGTAGGTGTCTGGCCAGAGGGGAGGGGGCAGAAGCAGACTGAGGTGCGGGGTGTCGGTGGAAGGTGTATGGGGGGGGCTGGGAGTGCAAGGTCTCAGCAGAGGATGTGTGTGAGGAGGCTGGGGGTGCAGGGTCTCAGCAGGGTGATGAGTGAAGGGACTGGGGATTTGGGGTCTTGGGTTGGGGGCTATGAGTGAGGGAGCTGGGGGCAAAGTTCCCTCTTAGCTGCACAGCTGAGTGGCAGCACAGCTATGTTCTGAGCCCTGCAGAGGTTCAAAACTCCCACACAGGCAGGCAGATCAGTGGATTGGCTGGGGCGGGGCTACCAGAAACAGCAGCTAAATGCTGTCTGCCGTGTGCTTGAAATGGAAGCCAATCAGCCGAAATAAGTAGAACATAAGTGGCTGGGAGGAGGGAGAGAATAATTAATTTGTGTAGAGCAAAGTCCCATCTGCCAGAGGAGAGAGAGGAGCAGAAACCCAGCAGTCTCTTCACCTCCCCTTTCCCAGGCCAGAAGGACTGAAGGGCTGACTGAATGGGGTAGGTTACATAACCCTGTGTTACTAATTAATACATGGTAAATTGTGTTGCATTAAGGCCAGATCTTTGCAATCTGGTAGAGTTATGGCTTTTATGAGTTAGAAGTGGCAAGTATTAGGTGTAATGCTAGCTGTTTTGTAGGATGACACCTTATTTGCAAGCTCTTTGAAAATTTGCAAATGACTACAAACCCTGAAGCCATGTGTTAATTTGTTCTGGGGCTTCTACTCTTCCTTCAGGGGAAGAAGGCTAATTCCCACCTTTATAGTCACTAAGTGTACCTACAGCAACTAGTCACAGGTGTCTTGTTTTAATATATTTTATTCCACACGTATGGACTGCTTAAAGTGTGTGTGTGTGTGTGTGTGTGTGCGCGCGCGTGTATGTTGCTGGTACCTGTGGTGTACATTGACACTCTCTCAATACTGGTGATGCACATAAGAAAATTCAACCTGCCCAAGGTTAGAAGATGTTACAGGGAACACTGGTTGGGGGTGTGAACTCCAGTCTCGCCCCCGCAACTCTAGCCCCCCAATCCTCTCACATGTCTCCTGCAGAGACCCTGAACCCCCAAGTCCCCTCACTCACCAGCTCAGCCGGCCCCCCTTTTGCTTCTTCCACAGCAGGGAGTCCATGCTGGTGCTCCAACTGGTGGAGGGAGGGCATGCGGCTGAAGCACCAGTACCAGCTTCCTTGTGGAGGAGCAGAAAGCCCCAAGGCTCCCCACGCGCTGCCTCTCCCCTTCCCCCTCCTCTGGCTGGGGGAACAGCAGTAGGAAAAGCCTTCTTGAAGTGCATCCCTGTGCTGCTGTTCCCCCAGCCAGGGAAAGGGGAAGGAAAGCGGCAGCACGCGGCTGATACTTCCCCCCACGCTTCTACTCACAGGGGTGGGCGGGTGTGGGGGTAAAACTACAGCGTGAGAGTGGGCTGGAGGTGTGCAGTCTCGTCCAGGCAGTGAGTAAGGGGGTTAGGGGTGCAAGGTCTCTGCTTGAGGGAGGCGAGTGAAGGGGCTAGAGATGGTGTGAGGAGGGGCTGCAGCCAGTAGGGTTGTGGGGAAGAGGCCAGTCACTTGGAAAGGCAGCCAGGACGCCAGCGGCAAGGGTAGCATGGTGCACGGCTGGGGCCAGGCCTGGCCAGCAGCAATGGTAGTGTGGCAGAAGGAGTGGCTGCAGCTGGCAGAGCTACAGTGGAAGAGGTAGGTCAGTGGGAAAGCATAGGTGGCCAGTGATGATTGTAGTGTGGCATGAGGAGGGGCTGCTGCCATTATGGCTGGGGGGGAAGAGTCCAGTCAGCGGGAAAGGTGGCTGAGGCCAGGCTTGGGAGGCCGGTGGAGAAGTTAAATAACTTCCAGAAAAGCCCAGAAGTCTGCATCTCTTTCTCATGGAGCAATTCCTTTTAGAGGATTAATACTAAACACTTAGGAAGACCATTCCCGCATTTTTTTTTTTTTTTTTTTTTTTTTAAACAAAGACTTATTAATGTTGAACAGAAGGTGGGTGATAGCTGAACACCATACACACCAATTATATAAAATAACACGTTACTTACATCAATGATAGCTGCTGCACTGCTGTCAAGGTGTTTGTATAAATCATTCAAAACCTCTCTCAGTTTCTTCATTGTTTTCTTATTGGGTTGAAGGAGCATTGCCTGGAAATTAACTGGCAAACCATACCTGAGGGAGCAAGCAGAAAGCTGTGACAGATTCTAATGAGATTTTTTTCAAGTAGCATAAGATTTATTCATTCTTACCGTACTACTGCTGTACTACTTTTTAGAGGTAAGAAACCTTGCTAAAGGTTTTTTGTTCCTGAGACTAAAACATCTTTTTTTAATTTTGGGAAGACCAAATTGTTATTACTATTAAGGATGTAACACTATACTACTATGTATTACTATTAGTGATGTAACCAGTTAGCACGGGACAGCAGCTAACTCCCTCAGAGTGGGGTGGCAGGCAGGCACTGGCTGCTGCCCCATGCTGCTGCCTCTACTAAAGAGACAGCAGTGTAGGGTAGCAGCTTCTGCACGCCAGAAAGCTAGCTGCATGTGTGTGTAACCGTTTAAATATTCCACAGTTACAGTTACCCAATTACCCACTTTTTTTACTTCCCATATTCATTCTTACCAAGCTTTGCTCCCCCTTTCATTTTTTTTTTTTTTTTTAAGTTTTGAAGACTTCCACTTCTAATTCTTGGGGTAGTAACAAAGTAATGTATTAAGCTTGAATGAGCTCGCCTGTGTGGAAAGGATAATCCCCTTTTTTATCAATCCCTTTTCCCAGCAACCTTTTAATTTCTTTAGGTGCATATTTATTTTCAACATTTTTTTCTAGTCTCTCAAGTTCCCTTACTCACACCGTTACTTGTCTCCCAAAGTAATAGGCGTACATAGTTGTAGCATGGACTAACTGTAGAATAGATCTACCACATTAACTTATGATTCTATTACCAGTCCCTGCCATCCTTTCAACACTACTACATCACTTGCTTCATATCATTCCTTATACTGTTCTGTTAGTATAAATGTAGTAACAAGCAGCTTTCAGTAACTATCCAATTTAGAAAGCAGCAAACTTCAATTGTGAACCAGATGTTCCTACTCTAAAAATTCATTCTCTCAACAGAATCCATCTAGTTATTTTAATCAACTTATTAACTTTACTTCTTGTTCACTTATGAACAAGAGAAAAGCAAATTATGAGAAAATAATAAAGCTATATAGTGGGGAAAATAAATCTAGTGGTCCCTAGGGATGCAAGAATGTAACGATTTAAATAGTTAACTGGTAAGTGTTAGCTTATCTGTTTCCATTACGGTTAATGCCAGCTCCCTACCCTACTCTCAGGGAGCCAGCTGTCACCCTGTGCTATAGGCTCTGCAGTATAAACCAGTGCAGCCAGCTCTTGAGGCTCAAAAGCTTTTGGTGCATACAGGCTCTCAGCTGCTGGCCCTGCTCCCAGGGAGCTAATCAGGTAACTGACAGGATTTTTAATAGTTACACAGTTACATTTTTAACCATTTTTTTACATTCCTAGTGATTTCTGTTCTGTGAAGTCCTGGGCTACTTTGTAAGTCTCAAAGCTCAAACAGATTATATGACCAAGGGCTTTGTCTTCTCTGTGTATCTTAAAATAGATCACTTTATTTATTGTTTGCATTTGTAAGTCTAGAAAGTGTTCTTCTAGAAGACATTCAATTAAAGCCAGCAAGGACCTCTTGCTCTAACATACAGAGCGCCCAAGACATTTAAAGGAGGACGACAAGAATACCTCCAAGGACACTACATCCTCATGTAGAATAGTGATAGAAATGTAGCCGTGTTAGTCTGGGGTAGTTGAAGCAAAATGCAGGACAATGTAGCACTTTAAAGACTAACAAGATGGTTTATTAGATGATGAGCTTTCGTGGGCCAGACCCACTTCCTCAGATCAAATAGTGGAAGAAAGTAGTCACAACCATATATACCAAAGGATACAATTAAAAAAAAGAACAAATATGAAAAGGACAAATCACATTGCAGAACAGAAGGAGGAGGCGGGGGGGTGGGAAGGGGGAGGAAGGAAGGTAAGTGTCTGTGAATTGATGATATTAGAGGTAGGGAGAGTGGGATGTTTGTGAGTTAATGGTATTACAGGTGATAATTGGGGAAACTGTCTTGATAATGGGTGAGAAAGTTCAAAGACTTGTTAAGTCCCTGGTGGTAAGTGTCGAATTTTAACATGAATGACAGTTCAGAGGATTCCCTTTCAAGTGCAGATGTAAAAGGTCTTTGTAGCAGAATGCAGGTGGCTAAGTCATTTAGAGAGTGTCCTTTCTGGTTAAAGTGGCAAGAAACTGTTTTCTCTTTGTGATCTTGTCTGATATCTGTTTTGTGGGCATTAATCCTTTGGCGAAGTGTCTGAGATGTTTGTCCAATGTACATAGCAGACGGACACTTTCGGCACATGATAGCGTAGATTATATTTCTGGATGCGCAGGAATATGTGTTCTTGATCTTATAACTCACTTGGTTAGGTCCAATAATGGTATCAGCAGAATGAATATGTGGACAAAGCTGGCAACGGGGTTTGTTGCAAGGGAAGGTACCAGGGTTGGTATTAGTGTGGTATGTCCTGTGGTGGTTGGTAAGAATCATCTTGAGGTTAGGTGGTTGTCTATAGGAGACTATGGGTCTGTCTCCCAGAGCCTCTTTGAGTATGGTATCCTGTTCCAATATAGGCTGTAGTTTATTGATAATGTGTTGGACAGGTTTAAGTTGGGGGTTGTCTCAGTTATCCATCTGGAGCTATATGTAGGTTTTAAAAAACATAGGCAAAACCCTGCTAATCAACTCCAAATCAGTTTACCTTAGAACAGATTCAACAAAAACTCGTAATGCTTTCACATGAATCCATGCAATGAATGCTTCACTGAAATTCACTTTCAGCCACCGAACTAGAGGTCCCTGTTGGGGGTAGTGGAGGGAGAAGGAAGGAGAGAGAGAGTAGAAGAGACAGGGAGTTATTCACACACTTCAATAAAGATTCAGCCTTAATAAAATGTGTTTAAACAGATGCTCAATGTTAAAAACAATATTGCTACATACACAGTCAACTTAATTGAAGGAACAGGCACTGGACAGCTAACTCCAAAATGTTTTAGTATAGAAAAAGTACTGTACATGAAGACCTGAAACAAAAGCCCACGTGGTACAAGCCTAGACAACAAGAATCAAGACTTTGCAAATATAAAGCAAAGTGAAGCTGTGAGTAAAAGGCATCTCACAGAACTTGGCACAAACAGAAATGCTACTTGGTATTAGGCACAGGCTATAAGCACATTTCAGAGAGATAATAACAAAACACCTTGTTAAGGAACACTCTCCACAGATAACAGGGACATACCGAACCAGGTTCAGGACAAAGTCTAAAATGTCAGTATGATGGATACAGATGTTTTTGATCCAACCACCAGGTGCATCTAGGTAATATGGTACTCTGATACGTCAGGAGTGACATGTAACTTATTTGAACCTGTGTATAAAAATGTGTCTTGAAGGGGCTCTCTTTGTTCAGCCTATGGAGCAGTGAAGAATCCCATGTCACTAACTGAGCCAAGACAATTGTCAGGGGGCACATATGTACTAGCAGAACTGTAAACATCTGATCTGGGGAGCTGAAGACCATCCTTCCTTTGACAATAAACCTGGTTCAGGTGCCTTAAATCCTTATCTGATTTTGTGGTCTTTGGGGCTCTCTCGGAGTCTGCTATCCTGGCTACCTGAGCAGAGATAGCAGAGCATACACAGGGAGCACACACAGCCAAACGGTTACCATAATTGAATGGAGTAAAATATCTGTCAGGACACTCTGCTGGTGACTTCTGACACACATTGGTGACCCTGACATGATATATGAAAACTGCCCTTGGGCTTACTGTGAGTACACTGGATTTTAAGATTAGCCAAATATCTATTAGTGAAGTATTTAATCGCTTTGTTACAGTGTTTTTAGTCAATAGAAATCTATTAACTGAAAATTAGGGAAACAATCCCGAGTCATGCCTCATGCTTTACTCAACTTGGTCAGTAGAAAGCAGCCCTGAAGCTTGGAAACCATACTACTAAGTGCATAGAATAAGACAGACTTCACAGAGCATCAATGTTACACGTATTAGCTGCTGGCAAAGGAGATGTGGACAGGGCTTTCTTGTGCACTGGAGATGCCTAGAGCTGTACTGGTCCCTTAAGCCTGTTGGGCAGCTGGCACAAGTTAGATCAGTGATACTCAGATATGAGGCTACGTCCACATTAGGACTTTTGCCTGAAGAGGCAAAGCAAATGAAGCACAGAATAGCATTTTCTTGCGCTTCATTTGCATAATCTCTTCGGATCCATTTTTGCGCAATGGGTTTTTGTGCAAAAACAAGCAGTGTGGACGTTTCCTTTTTGCGTAAAACCCCCTATTTGTGCAAGATCCTTATGCCTCAAAAAGGAAGTATAAGGATCTTGTGCAAAAAGGGGTTTTTGCACAAAAAGGAAACATCCACACTGCTTGTTTTTGCAGAGATTATGCAAATAAAGTGAAAGAAAATGCTAATCCATGCTTCATTTGCATTGCCTCTTCTGACAAAAGTTGTAGTGTAGACGTAACCTCAGTGGTTCAGGAGCCAAATTAGCAATCAGCATTACCCAAAAAGAGAAACAGTACTGCAAGTTCACTGTTTACTATAGTTACTATATATTTATATAGTCATATTTTTATATATA